GAAGTAATACATATCTGATGATACAATAATTCCATTCCCACTCTCTTCCTAGAGAAATGCATACTTATGGACATTAGGGAACATATGCATGAATGTTCATACCAGCATTCTTTAAAAAGTGGAAACATGGCTGAGCACGGTGGCTCAGCCTGTAATCCCAGCACTTTGGGAGGCTGAGGCGAGAGGATTGCCTGAGTCCGGGGTTTTGAGACCAGCCTGGGCAACTTGGTTAGACCTTGACTCTACAATAAATCACAAAAACTAGCTGGGCGTGGTGGCGTGCAACTGTAGTTTCAGCTACTTGGAAGACTGAGGCGGAAGGACTGCATGAGTTCAGAAGGTCTGCGGTGGCCATGAGCGTGCCACTACACTCTAGCCTGGGCAACAGGAGTGACACTCCAACTCAAAAAAAAAAAAAAAGTAGAAGCGTTACTTGGCTGCATTCTTGTAACTCAATGTTTAGGAAGGAGACTTAGCGCCTTTGTAACAGCTGTTCAAGTGTCCAGAGTGCTCACTTTATGAAATCTCACTTCCTCCTTTTGCATTAATTCCTCAAGGCCAGAAATACCATTTCCAAAAATGTTAATAGTCATGTAAAAATGATCAAACACTTTATTAAACAGAATAGAAATGAATATGTGTAGAAATGAAGAAATTAAACTCTAAGAGCAAAATACCTTGATATCATGATGGGTCATTGTAGGTCAATAGGAAAAAAATTTAATGAGCTATCTAATAGATATGACCAAAAAGAAATTTTCAATAAAGTTTTAGTAAGCCTCATATTTTTCTAGTGAAAAACTCCCTTTTTGTCCCTGCCACTTTATTTTTATTTTTTTGACTTTTTTGTAGAGACAAGGTCTCATTTTGTAGTCTAGGCTTCTCTCCAACTCTTGACCTCAAGTGATCCTCCCACCTCAGCCTCCCAAAGTGCTGGGACTGCAGGTGTGAGCCACTGTGCTCAGCTTTCTCTGCCATTTAAAACTGGTTTACCTTCTCTCTCATTAAAAAAAAATTCTCATTTTATTTTGGAAGATTGGTGCAGCTTTTGAAAATTCATTCACAGGAACAAAATCTACTAACTGTTGATTTCTTCTCAAAAGGCACTCTAACCTATGAAAAAGGCTAGAACTTTCATTTTTCAAGAACAATCGTGCCATGAAAAAACTCAGTAAGACAGCCAATCCATTGAATAGATAAGAAGAAACAAATTAAAAACAAAAGAAGAAATCAAGTGTTAGAATATTTGGTGTATTGAATTGGTCCAAGGTTGTGAAACCTAAACTCTCATTGTACACAGAGGGGGTACGAGCCCTTTCATAATATATTGTTCATTTACTTCATAGGCTAAGAAGGCTAACAGCCTCTGAGGCATGAGATCATCAGTCATAGAGCCAACACTTAGCGTTTTCGTGATGCTGGTAATTGATGAAATGAGACAATAGTGGAGTAAACGCTGTTATGGCCAATGACCTGTGCATCAGCTTTAGGGTGGGACAGTCTTCAGCTTTAGGTTGGGACAGTCAAGCAAGAAGAGGATTGATCTAATCCAGTGTCTTGGTATTGGTGGTGGCAGAGCAGCTCTCAGCCTGAAGCTCTGTGAGCCTATAACATTCTTTTAACATCCCCTAACTAGAAACGTGCAAAATGTCCACAAACCATAGAAAAAAATAAACAAATTATAGCATTTTCTTACAATGGAATACTATACTGCAAAGAATGGCTATATACTACAACATGATGAATCTTGCAAACAAAGTTGATCATAAGAAGACAGACACAAGGTATACATACTTATTGATTATATTTGTAAAATATGAAAAATAGGCAAACTGAACTATGTTGTGTGGGATTCATACCTAGGTGGCAAAATTATAAAATAAAGTGAGAGTTATCAGTTAGTGGTTACTGCTGAAGTGAGAAAGTGATGGGATTATGATGTAGGGGTCATTGGTGTACTGGCATTGTTTTACTTCTTGTCCTAGGTGGTGTTTACATGAATATTTACTTTGCAACAACTAGTTTAACTGTATATTTATGTCTTATGTACTTTCTGAGTATTATATTCCACAATAAAATGGTTTAAAAGCAATAAATTAATATTTTGTTTTCTTAATTAGTCACATAAGTATGCTTAACATTAGAGATCCAGAATTTGATAATTTCTGAGTGGATTTTTTTTTTTTTTTGAGTTGGAGTCTCTGTCACCCAGACTGGAGTGCAGTGGTTGCTTCCGGCCACCGCAGACTCGATCTGCTGGGCTTCGGTGATCCTTCCGCCTCAGCCTTCCAAGTAGCTGGAATTACAGGCGTGCGCTACCACGCCTGGCTGATTTTTTTTGATTTATTGTAGAGATGAGGTCTCGCCACCCAGGTGGGTCTTGAACCCGCGGGCTCAGGCAATCCACTCACCTCAGCCTCCCAAAGGCGCGGGATTACAGGCTGAGCCACCGAGCCAGCTTCTGAGTGGATTTTTAAAAGTGAGCCCTAAGTTTCCAAAGATGGAGTTCCAAAATAACCCCAAATTGAGGATAGGTATAATACAGAAAGACAAATCTACACAGAAAAGAGAGAAACAGACTTGGGTTTAAATGCTGACTCCACAATTTGTTAACTTTGCAACCTTGAACAGTTTCTTCATCTATAAAATGCTGACCCTTCAGGGTTTTGGGAGGTTTACAAGAGATAAGGTGAACAAACTGTTAATAAAAGATACTTATCGTGTATGACTAACATTAGCTGCCTGGTCTAAGGAATGGTCAAGAGGCTGATGTCTCAATACTGAAATAGGCAATATTTATCTAACAATGGAGGGAATTTAATATAGGATTTTTAAAAAGACTCTTTTTTGTGAAGCTATCTATCATTTATCCATTACTGTTCATTTATGCAACAGATATTTACAGGGTGCCAATCACAGGTAAGGCATCATTGTCTGTGTAGTTCTGGTCATTGTACCTTAAGAAAGATGAAGTACTGCTAGAATATGTTCAGAGTTGGAAAGTTAAAATGATCTAAAAAAGGTGTTTGAAGGGAAAAGTAAATGGCTAACTTATGAAGAAATATAAATATTTGGAATTTAATTAAAAACTACAAAGGCTTTAGGGGACATGATCAATATTTTAAAACTCATGAAGGGTGAGGATAGGGAGGAATTTTATTCAAATAAGCTTTGGAATACTAGAACTTCCCAGAAGAGCTTCCTTGAAGTTTGAGATAAAGGAATATTTGTTTTCCTCTCTATCTCCCCTACTAGACTACAAGCTCTAGAAAAGTAGGCACTTGTGCTATTCATTTTTGTTACTTTTCTTTTCTTTTTTTTTTTTGAGTCGGAGTCTCACTCTGTTGCCCAGGCTGAGCCACTGAGCCCACTCTCACTTTTGTTACTTTTCAAGTAAGATCCACTTGATCCTCTAGATTAGGGATAGGTAAACTTTTGTCAATAAGGGTCAGGTAGTAAATATTTTAGACTTTGTTGGTCATATGGTCTCATCACAAGTACTCTAATCTGTTATTGTAGTGCAAAAGCAGCCATAATATGTAAACAAACAGGTATGGCTGCCAATAAAACTTTACTTACAAAAATAGGAGGCAGACAGAATTTGACTCACAGGCCAAAGTTTGCTGACCCCTACACCATGGTGATAAAGATTGTTTGTTTTACCTATCATTAAACACTCAGTGTCTACAAGATTGCTTGTCTAGCATATGAATGATACTCAATATTTATTGAATGTTGAATTTCAGAACTTTCAATAGAGGCTTATAGAAACTAAGTCCTTAATATATATTTACAGAACTGAACCATACTTAAAAAGGAAGCACTATTTTATATGGTGGCTCATTTTGAACATTTATGTGGTTCATAAATTGTAGATGAATCTGTGTATGGCAGTTCTACATAGATTTTCTCTTTTTTTTTTGAGTTGAAGTCTTACTCTGTTACCCAGGCTGGAGTGCAGTGGCACACTCATGGCCACTGCAGCCTCGATCTGCTGGGCTTAGGCAATCCTTCCACGTCAGTCTTCCAAGGAGATGGAACTACACGCATGTGCTACCATGCCCGGCTTATTTTTTTTTGTTTTGTTTTTTTGTTTTTTTTTGAGTTGGAGTCTCACTCTGTCGTCCAGACTGGAGTGCAGTGGCCGCTCCCGGCCACTGCAGCCTCGGCCTGCTGGGCTCCAGCGATCCTTCCACCTCAGCCTTCCGAGTAGCCGGAATTACAGGCATGCGCCACCACACCCAGCTGATTTTTTGATTTATTGTAGAGATGAGGTCTCACTGCCCAGGCGGGTCTCGAACCCGCGGGCTCAGGCAATTCACTCACCTCAGCCTCCCAAAGGCGCGGGATTACAGGCTGAGCCACCGAGCCCGGCTCCCGACTTATTTTTTGATCTATTGTAGAGACAAGGTTTCACCAAGTTGCCCAGGCTGGTCTCGAACTCCTGGTCTCAGCAATCCTCTGGCCTTGGCCTCCCAAAGTGCTGGGATTACAGGCTGAGCCACTGCGCCCGGTCATAGATTATTTTAAAACAAGCATGTTTGGGGGATGTCTTCCTAACTTTTTGATGCTATTTGCATTAGGAAGAACAACTTTGCCCTCCCATAAATGTTGGTGCAGTTGAGATCTGATTGAACGAATATTAATGAACACATCTATCAGACATAAATCAGCCTGGTGATACACAACTTGTGCAGGGCTTAGGTCACTGAAACTTAGTAAGTGTTAATATTTTTAGAGAATAATTTCAAAAGACTGTATAACGTGAAACTTTCTTCTGTTTACAGGTTGATAAGCACACACATCCCTTCAGCAACAGAGAAATAACAGAGATCTGCCCTTACTTAGAAGGAAAAAGTTAAGGGAGGAAGTTACCAGAGAGCTCATTTGTCCAGCCATTTGTGGATCTTATCACCAATTATCAAGGAGAGGAATTTTGATGTGTTTATTCCCAGGGCCTACTGAGACCCTTTATTAAAGGATGCGCCCACAAGAATTACCTTAAGGTTTTCTTCCTGAAGCAAGCTATTGTGTTGCTTTAAGTCCAAGTTCTTTTCTCGCTCATATCGAAGCTCATTTTCAGCTGAGCTGCATAGATTCTGGAGTCGGTGCAATTTCTGGCGACATTGTTGTACTTCTTGCTGCTGATATTTTAGTTTTTCCTCAAATGATGATTGCTAAAGCAAACATTTAAAAAGAGAAATGTGGAAAATTTGAAAGAACACTGGTAAAATATGAGTTCAAGTTGTTAGAACCATAATTGTCAGAACGTGATTATTCACATGTAAACGT